GGTCATGAAATTTGACTCTGGTAATAAGACAATCAAATAATATGTGAAGCGGCGCCGTTTAATATGCTAATTGATGTAAACAGATTGATGAGTTTAGCGGGTTGCAATGATTCAGTGAGTTAAGAAAATAGCTTATAGATAGGACCGTTATACTATTTGAATGACTGGTCAAAAAATTATTTTCATCAAAACCGACGCGCGTACGATCATTTTTTCCGAAAAGTTACAGTTTTTTTTTAACATTCTTTATCTCCGGAGATTTAAAAAATTCAAAAAAATATACAGGAGAAAAAATTTTTGCTTTTACAAGTGGAATACTGACTATTTTTTAAAAAATTTTTCGAAGCTAGTACACTAAAAAAATGAAAAACTACATCAAATTTTTTTTTTCACTCATTCAATACTATTCCATAATAAACATAATGAATTTTGCAAAAAAATGAATTTTCTCTCTTTTTTTAAAGTTTTGATTAATTTTACGGTGGGAGGTCCAAAGTAGGTGACCAACAGTGTAACAATTATGATGTTCCTATGAAATGGCTAAGATTTGATAGCACTCCTAATTCATGAATAAATAAGTAGATGAAACATGGACACAACTACACTTCTAAGACGAAGAAACAGTCAAAACAGTGCATTCTGAAAGTTCGACCAGCTCCAAAGAAGGCGAAGATAATGAAATCTGCCGGTAAGGTTATGGCCACTGTTTTTGGGATGTACGTGGAATTATCTTCGTCGACTATTTAGAAAAGGACAAACAATTACCGGAGAGTATTATGCGTCGTTGTTGGACCGGTTAAGCGAGAAAATAAAGGAAAAACTTTAATTGACTATTGAATCCTTTGATAGAAGGTTATTGATTCACTGTTAGACTTTTTAAACTATTAACATATTTTTATAGAAAAGCACGTTTTCTTTTAAGTTAATTGATTAATGTGGCGGTAAAATTGTTTTTTTGAAATTCAGTTTTTACTATACCTAGTTAAGATAAATATGACGTCAATATCTAGAGATGAAGGTCTGAAACGAAACTAATAAAAAAAATGCAAACTAGTAGGACAATCCTCAAGGATTTTTATAAAAGACATACAACGCTCTTTGTTCTCTGCTAGAACAGAGACCTGTTCATTCAAGTTCGTTTTCTTTATTGGGACTTTCTGGATGATCTGCTTCACTAGTTTATCAAACCGCTTCCGTTGCGATGGCTGCAGTATCGACAACTCCCGATACCTCGGTTTCCACATATGTGAGCTCCATATCCGACTCATATAGCATAAAAACTCTAGTTTGCGCCATTTGTGCAAGCAAATGCTAGGCCATTTTCCTGTCGAGCTACCAGCTTCTAGTCCCGTGATCGGTTTTTACTCCGTATGCGGAAATAAAGTCCACGCTGAGCATCATGTTGTATTGTAGTGCCTTTTCACATGCCTGCGCTACAACTGTACTTTTCAAACCGTCTATAGTTATTGTCAGTGTAAGTGTATCCGCGATCTCCATCGGTGTCTCTGAGAAACACCATGTCGTCGGTCCATCAAGATTTTCTCGAAACCCGTTCGTGAACCTGCGGCCTACTATCGTTATTTGCGCGTTCATATCGAACAGTGCGCTATATTACGTCGGTGTCTGTGAAAAAAAAACACGCTCAAAACTGGTTTGAAAAAAAATCCTCTCCTTAAGTGCCGTGAAAAAAAAAAATAGTTTGATGAGAACGCCATCAAAAAAAGTATTGTATGGACTAACGCTGTAAAAAACCCCTTCCTCTCGAGATGCCGTGAAAAAAAAACACGTACTTTTCTTCACGGCGTCTTAGGCACAGGTGTTTTTCTTCACGGCGTCTTACGCACAGGTGTTCTTTACTTTGTTTTATGTGCATGTGTTTCCTTTTACGACGTTACATAAAAATATTTATTTTCATAGCTTTTTAGGATTCCGTGTTTTTTTCCATAGCGTTTGAGCACATAATTTTTTGTTCACAGACACCGGCGATTATAATTTCATCGTACAGGTCACCGCGATCGATCTCATGGCAGAAAGATCTGCGGAAATCAGTTTTAAATTCCCTGAACGCATTCCATTCCTGCTCGTTATTCTCACGTTACACGTCCGCCCATTCGGAGAATAACCCGCCCATGGCCAAGATTACCTGTGAATCTTTCAGGTTATGGATATGCATGTACCGTTTTGACTTTATTAAAAATCACTCGGCCTCGAGCCTGGAACCCTCTAAAAATTTCAGCGGTCATGCTTTAAATACCGAGAAGTTCCTAGTTCGCCCGTTTCCTTTTTATAAAAGCGTACCGTTGTATCGTTATACAGCTTCTGCGTGAGATCGACATTTGAATAAATAAATAATTATTTGTGTATCGAATATCGAGTATTCACGCATCCTTATTCATTGACCTCGCTTATCGAAAGAGAGTCAAGCAGTCGATTGATCCACAATAATTAAACCGGATAAGTTCTGGTCACTTGAAATAAATTTTAAATAAGTCGTTATATTATTTACGTGAGAAATATATATCATAATAATAAGTCTGGACTACTAAGTTCAAGACTTAACATTAAAACTTCGTATTTATCATTCATCTCCATCGTATCTCTGCCATGTTTAATTTCGATTATTGAGTTTCTTATTTTATGAATACCAAACAAAAATGTGGCTTGAGAAAATTGATTTCAATTTGTGACTGAGATGTTTCCAGTACATATCTCCCAAAAAATGAATTGAGACGGAAGTCTGTGACCTTGATTATATCTTACATATTCTAAATTGTGATAAAATAATACTGTACTGGAAAGATTACTTACATTAAGTAGAAAGACAAACAATATACAACGAAATAATGAATTAAATAATCAAATACGAGAAGCAGATTACCAAAATAAAAGTGCGTATTAATAAAATTCGGAATTGTCAAGGTTTGTTATGTAATGTGATTAATATTCGGGTGAAAGAACGTCTCAACGTATGTGATCGTGAGTGTGTGCTCGTGGTCAAAGGACCACGACTGCGTGCAAGGTTACATACGTGGGGAAGACGCTGGATCTTCACTCGATCGCTGGGCCGGCTTCGCACCTCGGCGAAACTGTTCGACGTAGCTGCTACCCCGTTAATTGCTCTCTCGATGTGAGAAGTCGAGGAGCGGATGATCGAAGAGTGCTAGAAGGGGGAAAGGATCGCGAAGACTCTCGCGACCACGGCCGGTGCACTCAATGTTCGTGGGTTCGTTCGGCGGGAGACTTAGGGAAAATTACTGGCAAAAGATAACTAGCTGGTATTTTACTTTTAACGCCTCGGCTTTATTGAGCCGCCAGGTAGACGGCATTGTGCGATCGCTACAAACGGCTCAACAACAGTGACAAAGTTAGACCGAACGCTCGTAACCGATAAACCGTTGTACGAGCAAGAGAAAGAACGTACTCGAAGCTAAGTAAAATCGTGCGCACGCTTTCGCTCGCAAATAATAAAAATTAAACGCTACCTTAACTTTGTCGCTGGTCAATCGACAAAGCTTTTTCATCTCACTCTTGCTGCTACCACTGACGACGACACGCTGGTACGGGAGCCTCTCATCGAAGTCTTCGCTCTCTGCGCGGTGCTGGACCTCGAGCTCGTAGAGCTTGGCTATCAGCCAAAGAAGGCCCATATATTAACTTGGAACAACATAATGATATTTATGACTGAAGTAGATGACGATACACATTCATGTTCAAGTTTGTTACTTTATTTTTTACTATCTTTAAAGTGAATTTAGTTTATTCATGTAATAGAAATTTTTTTAGGTTATACTCACTTTTAGCATATACGAGGTGTGTTCAAAAAGTAAGGTGACTTTTCAAATTTCACGGGCAACGTACTTTCGATTATCGATTTTGTTTTGTTATGTTCGTACACTCTTCCCGAACATCTGTACCAAGTTTCAAGTGTATAGCATTTTTTGTTTGGTTGTGAGAGGCGTAAAGGTTATATGTCTTTTGCGTGCTCGGCGATTTCTTGCTATCGAAAAATATGGATCAAAGGATTTGCATCAAATTTTGTGTAAAAAATAAAATAAAGTGCTCCGAAACACTTGAAATTTTGACGGTGGCATACGGTGAAACTATTCTGAGTAAAAAAAATGTTTACAAGTGGTACAAACTCTTCCAAGATGGCCGGGAAGATGCCAATGACGAGCCTCGCTCTGGACGCCCAAGCACGTCAACAACTGATGAAAACGTTCAAGCAGTGAAGATAATTGTTCTGGAAAATCGTCGAATCACTATCAGAAAAGTTGCTGAGGATGTTGGTATATCGCTTGGCTCGTGCCATGTAATTTTTTCTAACGTTTTGGGCATGAGACGTGTGTCAGCGAAGTTTGTTCCGAAATTGCTAAATTTTGACCAAAAGAACCGGCGCATGAGCATCGCTCAAGAACTGTTGAATGACGTCAACGACGACCCAGATTTACTCAAAAGGGTCATAACTGGTGACGAATCATGGGTATATGGTTATGATATCGAAACCAAAGTCCAATCGTCCCAATGGCAGAGCCCAGATGAGCCAAGACCGAAAAAAGCACGCCAAGATGGCCAAAGGATATGATTGATGTACATGCTTATTTGCATGACTTGAAAGTATAATATCTCAGAATAGTGGATACTTCTTTCACTCATTCTCGTCATTACCCGGAGCTTACGACGAGGACGTGATGAGTTCAAGCTCCATTTACGTTTTTTTTGTATTTTTCATATTTTATATTTTTTTTGTATTTTTTATATTTTATATATTTTTTTTATTTTTTATATTTTATATTATTTTTTATTTTTTATATATTATTTTCTGCATTTTTTATGTTTCATTTTCAGGGTTTTTATTTCCTCTTTTCCTCCATTCTTCCTGTAGGAGGATCCCCTTTGCATTATCAATAAATTTGTACTGTAATATTGTTACTGAGTATTTTTTGAAATTAGACATAAAAACATGTTCTTCATACAACCAGAGCAACAAAACTCATTACTGTCTATATGTGATGTTTTTGAAAACAATTTCTTTCCGGTAAAAGACACAGAGGAACATTACAAGTACTACAAATCCATCTCGTCTTCTGTGGCTTATCTCTTGTAGAACAGTGGTTACATCTTTTATATGTATCTGAGACTTGTGGCATGTGAGCAGCATTAGAAAGTCTCTTTTCATCAGGTACTTTGATTTTTGCATGGCTTGGAGTATTTGGTGCCGTTCTTTTCCTACCTTTTGGAGTTGGGAGCTTATGTACCACCAATTGTTCTACCAATCTCATTCGGAATTTTTTCAATGACAAAAGTGGTTTGATTTGTTTTTCCTTGTACAAAATGAATCCGTTACATATGCAGAGATCGATGACATGCCAAAAAATTCTAAACCACCATTTTTTGGACTTACGATCAATCTGGTAAGTAGATATTGCACGATCCGCATAGTCGACATATCCCATGTGTGTGTTATAGTCTGAACACAAGACAGGACTGTTGACAGGAGTTAGAGTACCATCTTTTTGCCTCCGATTCACAACAGTTACATCGGTAGGGTCGTGAAAATTGGATAAAAAGTATACTGGTTTTTTACCCATCCACTTTATCCATGTGAGTCCTGATGTCGAGGTCTTGTATTCGTACTCTCCAATAACCATTTTTTTATCAGACTTATCACTTTTGGGGAGATTCGCGCGATTAGATCGTACTGTGCCATATGCAAGGATGTTATCCTGTTTTAGAGATATTAGAAGCTCTACTCCTGTGAAAAAATTATCAAAATACACTTGGTGATTATGACCAACAAGGTGACGTGTAAGATCACGAACCACACGTGCTCCTAATTGTTTTTCAGGACTATCTGTTTTGCCTGTGTAGATCTGAAATTGACAAACAAATCCCGATTCATCTGCTCGGGTCCAAACTTTGTAACCACGTTTAGTTGGCTTGGCTGGCATATATTATTTCATGCTACTCCTCCCCTTGAACTTGATCATTGATTCATCAATAGCTTGGTGATGGCTTGGTTTCCAGCATTCTCTGAATGTTTCAGAAAGAGTGTCGAGAAGAGGTCTTAGTTTATACAATTTATCGTATTCTGGATCTCCTTTTGCTGGTTCTTTTGAATTATTATTGATATGCAAATGAGACAAAAAAAATCCAAAGCGATTCACAGTCATCAGTGAAGAAATATATGAATCATGGAATTGAGGGCTATTAGACCAATAATCCCGATACGAAGGTAACTTCTTGTAACCCATATGGATATTGATCGCTATGAAAATTTTCAACTCATCTTTGGTGATAAGATCTCCTTTTGACTTCTTTTGAGAAATAAACAAATTTGTTTGCTCTACAATAACATCTAATAGAGACTCAGGGAACAAACAAAGAAATATATCCTTTGGAGAAGACGCGGAGTCAGGGATGATGGGTCCGTGACTCCTACTGAAAGATAAATCAGTCTTTGGAATATTCTTCGATCTCCAAATTTCACTTTTATTTGAATCTGTAGTGGTTGTTTCGTCGTCAATTTCTTCTTCGTGTGCCTCATCTTCGAGAAGATTGTTGATTGAAGGGGCACATGATCTACTCTGCGATTCAATACCTCATCTTCATCCTTAGAATCGCACAACCCATCAACAGACTCTGAATCACTATGAATTTCATTCACAATTCGCCTTCTTCTCCCCATGGTTACAAAATAAATCTCTTCTAAATTTGTTGATATAGAAAATATGAAAATTGAAGAGTACTACGTAAAAATTGATCCCGCCCTAATGGGCGGGAAAAAATGCCCGCAAAACAAGAATATTATGAACACAAATATACAAAACGCCTATTTGCTCTTCAACTAATATAGGGAATCCACTCCGGTTTTTTAGTCAACGAGTGTCAACAAATATATGGATGACTCCAGAAGCAAAGAGCCGATCTTTATTTATTTTTCGTAGGTCGGGGGTTGAGGGCCTTTGAGCCTTTTGGCGATTTGTATGAGCACCAAACACTTTGTATTGAATGTACTCTCCATGGGTCTGAGGGCCATATATATATAAATATATATATTTTTTTTTTTTTTTGAGAGATTCATTCACCTAATCAGAAAACAAAAGACTAGAATATTTGAAACAGAATACTAAATTATATTATCAGATTTGTTATCAGCACGACCGAAAACCCTTAGAAATTACGTTTCATGAAAATGAAGTCCCGAAAAATGAAATTTGATATCCGAATTTTTGGATCCGCCATTTTGGATATATTATTTTGGAAATCTGATATCAGATTCGTTATCAGCGAGCCCTAAAAGCCTTTACATTGAATTTTGAAATATTCAGGCCAATATAGAAAATAAATGCCTGTCCGCCATTTTGAATTCGCCATTTTGGATACATCATTTAGGAAACCTGATATCAGATTCGTTATCAGTAACCCCTAAAACTCATTAGTTATGAATTTTAAAGTTTTCAAGCGAATATAGAAAAAAATCTATGTCCGCCATTCTGAATCCGCCATCTTAGATGCAAAATTCGAACAATCTAATGTCAGATTCATGATCAGCGACCTCAAAAACCCCTATATATAAATTTTCATCTAAATATCCTGGAGAGAAAAATGTATGCTTCAAAGGGTTAAAATTTGTGAATTACACTTTCAATAACTGTGTTTTCAACGTTGTTACGTGTAAAAATTGTTTTGAGGAAAATGGCAAATAGTTATATTATATATTTCGAAATGATATGTATTGTATATACTATCTATTATATTTGTTTCTTGTTGTGATCATTTTATTAAAATTTAATAAATCGAAAGTAGTATAGCAATGTAAGTTTCAGGCCACCCTGCGGAGGGTCCTGAAACAAACTTTTGGTCCCCTGGCCTAACCCTTTCATGTTAATAATAATTATTAATATTAATCAATATTATTAACAATATCTGCGGGGATCCTTTGTTTCATACTTTGATTCCCTGGCTTAACCCTTCCATATTAATTATTATTAATGTTAATAATTATTTATATGTTTTGAGGAAGGTTCCTAGGGCTCCTAGTCCCTAGGGATCCTCCCTATTGATTTCAGTCTAATTTATTCAAATGTATTTTGGAAGAGTTATAAATATTATTGATAAATCAATTGCTACATTGTAAATGAATAGAAAGCGATAATTGAAAAAAATGAAGAGACAGATCGGAGAATCGCACCGGCGTCCTCTAGGTTGGCAGGCTAGCGGAGAGCGTCGTAGGTCAGGTAGCAGCGGGCGGTGCGAGCCAGCGCGCGCGTAACACGGGAGGGAGGAAGTGCCGAGAGGAAAGACGCAGTGGTTAGCAGAAAGAGTGTTTATTAAGACGAAGATAACAAAGGAAGCATACAAGTAGCATTCGCAGTGAGAGAGGCAAGCGAGAAGCAAGCGAGAGAGAGAGTCTTATGATCGAACGGGCACTTACATGACGGGTTCGCAGTGGCCTCGGACTTAGTCCTGACACGCGCAGGTGTTCAGCCACGAGGCAGCTCTCTCAGGCTGACTGGCAATAATCTGCACGCACGCACGCACTCTACACCCTTGGTCCTTATCGGCAAAAAAACACTAGCTGCGTAGCACAAGGCGCTTATTCGTCGCGGTGATAGCCGGGCTTGCTTTTCTCGTGAAGGCGGGCAGCAGATTGTCGCTCGCACGCGGAAGGGGTCCTCCTCTCTCGCGCTGGCTATTCGGCAGCGGCGCGTCTCAGCCAATTAGGCAAACGTGCGCGACACTCAAGCGTCCACGCTTTCACGCGTACACGTGGATCTCTCTCTCTCTACTCGGTGCTCTCTGACTTACCTCGTGCCGCATCCACAGCTGCGGCAAGGCAAAATTACATAAAAAAGAATACATAGGTTATTAATAAATTATGATTAGCTTAAGGGGAGAGAGAGACATAACGAGACTCGGCTCGTTATAAAGTTTACATGTGTTAAAAACTTAATATTAATGGTTATTTACTTGTAAATTAAGAATACTCATTTCTCAAAATTCGCGAATGTCTCTCGAATTTTTGATGACATCTCTCCTGCAAAAATAAGTAGGAAAATCTGTGTATAAATAGGCCCACCTCTGCACAGGCTAGCATTCACTTCTAGCCTTACAAGGTGAGCGCATGAGTCTGAATAAACTTGGATTATACCTAAGTTCTTTCTCTCATTGTGATTAACTGAGCAAGACTGTCCCTTCCTTATAATTTGAGCTCGACTTATAGAACATCTGGCGCTATAAAAAACTTGGGCCGAATTATATCCTATCAAAGAAAGACTTTAGCTCTGCTTATGGGACAATTCGCACCATAAGAAACTAGGGCATTATCTGACTTTCTTCGAAATATTGTACTTATTTATATATCTTTGATTTACTTATTGATTACATTTGATTCATTTATCTATTTTATTGACAATTAGAGTTAAATTATTGGAAACAAATTCTTACTCATTAGCTAGATATGAGAGTTCGAATTATTTTATTTATAAGTGATACGAACATCACATTTAATAAGTAGAGCAATTCGACAAAGGTGTCAAACTTGTGCTTGTCATTTGAATTCTATTGAAGTCAATTTAAGTAAAACTATAAAAGTTGGTGGAAGTATACAACCATTAACAGCTATTCAGGATGAAATTCTAGGAGATGGAGTTGTTTGGAGACCAATTCATTCAGCCTTTGAAAATCGAATTAGTACAGTCTGTATAGTTAATCAACATCATTTAGATATAAAAAGATTTCTAGTTGCCGCAAATCAACTATTACAAATTAAAATACCTCAATTTCTTGCTATCCATAATAACTTAAAAATAAATACAGAAATGGCATCACAATTTATCATAAAGAAAAATCAAGAAGAAGATATTCAAATCAAGTATTTCAATACAGAAAATGTTTGCATTTATAAGACTACTGATCTTGATAGATGGTTTCAAAATAACGTTAAAGATATTATACTTAAACAAATCGAAGAATTTCAAGAAAGAGACTCAGGCTGGTCGTTAAAAACTATTGTCGGTCTCACTATTAATATAAATAAGTATAATCCATTTAAACAATGCTCGTATATACCATTACCGTCAAGCATAGATAATAAAAGAGCCTGTGTTAATGTTAAAAATGAAGACAATGAATGTTTTAAATGGGCTATACTTTCATGCCTTCATCCAGTTGCAAGAAATCCAAACAGAGTAATTAAGTACAAGCCCTATGAGAATGAACTGAATTTTGATGGTATAAGCTTCCCTGTAAAAATAAAAAGTATTCCTAAATTTGAAAAGTTGAATAATATAAGTGTAAATTTATATATACTAAAAAAATATGGATTGAAATATGAAGTCTCACCATGCTATATAACGAAATTAAAACAAACTAAACATGTAAACTTACTCTTAATACAAAACGAATATACTGATGAAAATGAGACTAATAGACCACGAATATCAATAGATGATGAAAAATTCAAATTAGAAACTCACTACGTATGGATTAAAACTTTATCTGCTCTCCTTCGTAGACAAGTTACTCAACATACTGAAAAAATTTATCTTTGCGAACGATGCCTTCATTATTTTACTAACAAGGAAAATTTGAAATCTCATGAAGTTGACTGTTCCAAAATAAATAAGTGTCGGATTAATTTACCTGACGATGCTACTTTAGAATTTAAAAATTTTAAACATAAAGAGGAAGTTCCATTTATTATATACGCCGATTTTGAATGTCTGTTAAAACTTATAGAAGATCCGAATAGAAATCTCAATGTTAGAGACATAGTTTCCAAGAACATTAAGCCTATAGCATTAGATTATATGTAAAATGCCGTTATAATGATAGTAAGTCGATATATAAGTCATATAGAAAAAAATTAAATGCAGACGAATCACCAGCATTATGGTTTATAAAGCAATTGAAGTCCCTAGTGATTGAGTTAGAAAAGGTATATAAT